GGGGTAGGGGGTGCCACCCCCGTGCCATATGGAATTAACACAACAACATGACATCAAAGTGGCCGTGGTAGCGGAGTGTCAGGTCGCATTGCAGTCGCGGCGTCCGCGCCGCGCAGCCCCCATCCCCTTCACTGCTAGAATGGGGTCGAAAAGTAAAGCAGCGGGATGGAAATGAGACGCTACTCAGAGCAGTTCTACGCCAACAGATATGGCAAGCGGCAAGAGTTCGGTGAGTGCACGGTGTACCGTCATTCCAGACTTGGTTCCAACAAAGAGATTTCTATTTTTCTGAGAGCCCGAAAGCGATGGTTATGGTTGTATGCTAAAAAACCTCCCTGTTCCCCAGCCGGGCCGCACGGCCAGCAGGTCGGCTTCCAGAGCGGCTCCAGATACGGGAGGACGGACCCGGACGCTGCGCCGCTTGGCCCCGACGACCGGCTGCAGCGTCGCTTCTACGCCAACGGGCGGTACGGCAAGCGGAGCGGGAGCGGGGCAGCCGCGCAGGGGGCGGCGGGGGCGACCGGGGCCGCGGGGGCCGCCCTCGCCGAGTACCAACTGCTAGACGGTGAGCTGCTGGACCTGTCTACTCTTCTGATACCGCGGTACACTACACTGAAGTCATCTCCACGGGGATTTATGTAGGTGATGTCTTTTACTGTTCAGACTTCTCCGGACTTCCCTTTGTCGTGGATGAGGACTCCCAGGTGGTCTGCCGCTACACCGGTGTCACGAATCTCTTCAGATGCGCTCGGAGGTGAATACATACGCACGCATTTTCAATTACATTCACACTTTCTGCCACCCCCCCCTCCTCTTTATATAAATCTGACTATTTTATTTTGCTTCTAGGAAAGAGGGCGAAGACATTCCGGCGATTCTTCAGGATCCGCAGTCCAGTGTGGTGACTGGGAACCCTTTGAACTAATGCCAAATCCAAGTTCAACTGGTTTGGAAAGGCGATTTTTCTTGAGTTCTCTGCATTTTCATGAAATAATACGAAAAAACACACCAAAAACGCTGACCTGGCGATCTTTGACTTTTGTTTTACTTAGTGCAGGCTTAGTTTTAGATTCTATTTAAAGTTATTACATCGACAAGCCAATCATTTGCGAGCTTGGGTTTGTCAAGTCGAAGGGGAAGGGGAACGGCGTGACTTGCCGCTGTTATCTTCCTCCCCTTCCCACCGCATTCCTCGTGGCACGTGAGGGATTTCAGATCCCCTGTAGCGTGTTGACACACCCAGCCCATGCTCGTGCCACCTTGCTGGGCGAAGTGAACTCCAATAATGTGTTGTTGACACCTGTTACGAGAAAGGGTGTCCCGTATTATATATGTAACTTTTTTAAAAATTATAAATCTTCGGCTCTGCTGTATTGCTCTAATGCCGAATAGCCCCAATTTTAGTATATCATTAAAAATGTTATCCTTTGGTCTACCATTGTCCTGTTTTCAAATAAGGCCTGTTGTTTATGTGATAAGAAAGCGCATTTGCGGCGAAATGTGGAGCGGGATATTTTTTCCGTATAGCACCTATATTCATGACACATTTGCCAATACTTAATTCAGCAGATTTTTGTTTCCGTAATCACTCTGTGGGGAGATTCACGGGACCATGTGGCTGGACCTCAAAATTTCCCGCCACGGACCCAACCTGATTTCTAGCGAGTATGTCCCTTGAATAAGGTCGGAGCGTATTGGGCTGCCTGTACGACTCGAACGTTGTTTGAAAGACCCGGGAGGTAGTGTAAAGTGTCAAGTAAGGAAAGGTGCACTCTGTAAAATAAAGTTGCCATCATCAAATAACAGATATTCTAGTTTTATTTTACTGGTTGCCCTACCGCTTTATCCTCCAAAACCGTTAAATTTCCCGCACGTGGACAAAATCTGTTCATATTGGACACAATTCGATGTTGTTGTTTTTTGTTTTGTTTTTGGTCTGTATAGTATATTTTTTAAGAGGTACAGATGGCGGCTGGTCAGAATTGATAGAATTTTTTTTACAAAAACATATATTAGCAGTGTGGCAACTCTCCGCCCACCTACCTCCCGCACGCGTGCGGGGGCGGCTTGTGTCACCAAAGGGCAGTAATGAGGGAAGCCCTGACTCCTAAGCTCTCTGTCCGAACTTCGGCAAGGCAGGGGCGAGTATGGGCCCTGCGCTCGCGTCACCCTCTAAGTCCCCGAAGACGTGCGCGTACCCCGCCTTCAATTTATTAAACTAATAAAAACGGACCGCGATGACCCGGTGTTTGCATACTATAAGGCCCGGGCTAGACTGGCCTTCAACCCCTGTCCCACCGTGGTGCAAAAGCAGGGAGTTTCTCACCGTGGGGGTGGGGGCTGGGCTATGGGTAAACATCGTGTCACAAGAGGAGCGGGCCTTTAATACAGCAGGGTGGCCCATGTGGGCGTACAGAGCCTCATGTCCCCGAACACAATCGGCTCTCACCTCAGCCGCCTGTGCAGGTTGCACACAGTTGTGTGACTGCAGATACAGAACGTCGTGTCGGGGGTCCTAGGCCACCCAAGGAGCAATCGGGATGGTCCACCCTCCCACCACCCACAATCCTCCACTTTATTTTTACTCTGTATCGACGGGGTAGGGGGTGCCACCCCCGTGCCATATGGAATTAACACAACAACATGACATCAAAGTGGCCGTGGTAGCGGAGTGTCAGGTCGCATTGCAGTGCGCGCCGTCCGCGCCGCGCAGCCCCCATCCCCTTCACTGCTAGAATGGGGTCGAAAAGTAAAGCAGCGGGATGGAAATGAGACGGAAACGATGTGGATAAGAACCCCGAAATAAGCAACAAACGCCAGAGGCAGACCTCCCAGTAGCGCCCATTGTACTTATTGAATGCGCGTTATACCGCATTGAATGCACATTTAGGAGGCAACACATTTTCGGCGCATCCGCGTTAAATGCGCCGAAAATGTGTTACCTTTCATGCTCTAAGGTGTAGTCTAGAAAGTACGTCCACTTCTCTCAGATTCATTCACCAAATTACAGGAGCCAGGCGCCTGCGAAACTCAACGTAGGCCAGCCCGCACTACACGGATGCACTGCAGGCAGGGCGATGCCTACCCACCAGGCGCTAGGAGTGCTTGGGGAGGTTATAAACACACTTGGCAGGTTCCGAGCGGCGAATGACGCACGTACTTTCTGGATGACCCCTACACACACGCACTAGCCGCAACTGGAGCCGCTGGCTACAAGGGCGCATCAAGTCACAAAAAAGTCATGCTGCTTGAAGAAAGTATACCAGCGCACTGTAAGCTCCCGGTGGGCAAGATAGTAATCAAAGGGGAAAGAACGCAGTGACCCCGCGAACCCCTTCCACAAAGTTTACAACCCAGAGGGCTGCCGTTCGACTGACGTCACGCGCCGTGGCCGCGTCCGCGGCAGTGCGGTTGGCCCGGGCCGGCCCAGCCGCGCCCTTCGCACGCAGCCGTTTGGGTCGTGCCGGCCCGGCGATGTGTGGGCGTCCACGGTCCAATTATAGCAGTTAAAGCGTTGCGACAATGCGACTCTCCAGCTCCAGCCGCTCTTGTATCGTTGGCCGGCGCTGCTCCTGCTGCTGGTGTCTATCAAGTAGCGTCCCTCCGGCCGGTCCCTCCCTCCGCGGTAGCATTGTTGCCGAGCCGCGACGGGACGGAGGACCGGAGGACCCACAGCATCCTGTTGAGTGATTGCACGAAAACTGTGGAGCAATGGCCTAAACCAATACCTAAAAAACAAGACGACTAATTATTTAGACGCAAAGATAACAATTTAGCTATGTTTAGATGCATAGCTAATTTTTTAGCTTCAGTCACAGTGTTAGTCGCATGGCTAATTTTTCGCGACTTAGCTAAAGATTTAGCTTCATAGCTAAGGATTAGTTATCACGTGTTTAGCTACCAGGTGTCCGTGAGAATACGAGGCAACTTGATCGGTTGCCTACGCACTGCGCTGCAGTTAATACACAGATCCTGCACCTGACCCGTGCATTTCCTGTGCTTTATAAAGAACCTTTATTTGCTTTATTCGCTATTCGGAAAGTGAACAATAATGACACGTTCCATGTAGTAGCAGTACACCAGGGGTCAGGTCTACGACGCGGCAGTATACGCTCCAGGGTATGCAAACCCGCAACACTGCTGTGTCATAGCCCTGACACACACGGTACAAGGGGTTGTACTACAAGTTGCCTATACACCTTTCAGGCGGCCCATAAATTCTGAAGCGATAGGGCACCCCCCCCCCCTTTCCCCCGGCCCAGCTCCAGCAAGAAGGGCGAAATTGTTACAGTGAATCGGCACCCAATTGCTCAGTGGCCTGCGACTATAGATATAGCCACCTGAAAGGTAGGCAATTCTATCTACAAAGCCGTTGTAAACAGGCATAACTGCGCTCTAACCGCCCCCCTCCCGGACGACCCCTACTACGCCCCTGCACGGGACCACCCCTGCAGCCCGCCGTACGTCACTCGGCCGTGACAGCCAGAGACTCGATACTGAAGGCTCGTCGTCAGTATAATAAGAATCACCTGGCCATTACGGCCCGGCCCCTGATAGCACTAGATGGATCGCTGGCGGCGCGAGAAGAACTGTAGCGGGAAAAGGGGGTAGGGGGCGTATCCACGCGGAGACCGCGGCGCGCATGGCGCGGGCCTCGGGTTAATGTCGTAAATGGGGTAAAATGAAAAGCGGGGAGGGGGAACAGGGATGAGGCGGCCCGGCCCGGCCACCTCGCGATGTGAGAGCCAGGGGTTCAGTCGGTTCAGTATTGACCGGGTGCGTCGCACGCAACAGGGAGGGACCAGGGGAGGGGGGACTGCAGGGGCGCTCTGCGGGGTGCCTACCTACACGGCTTCTGCACTGCACGGCCCTTCCTCGTAAGGCGCGCACCGTGACGCGTACGGGCGACAAGGAGCAGGCGTGGGCGGGCAGGGCGGGCTGGAGGGCTGCTTTGGGCCCTTTGGGCACGACCCCTGTGGAGGGGCGGCAGGGCTAGGGCAGGCTTCATACCACCGGCGGCCAAGGGACGCGACGCGTCCAGGAAACGGTAAGAGATACAAGATGGTTAAGGTCACCGTATGTTGGGGTGCTAAGCTTCAAGGTCCTAAAGCAGATGTCACCTCCCGCCCTTGACGCGCGGGTAGGGAGGGCCAGAACCGACGACAGGGCCTGACAGTAGCTATACTGCAAAGACAAGATCGACACTTGTCATGTCATCTGCTGCACTCTCTTGACAGATTACACTACCCCCGCGCCAAACGCATTGAATGAGCGTGCATGAGGCACAATAAAAGGTGACTCCATCGCGATCCCTCTGGAACGGCAGAGTAGTGATACAACTCGCTTCCAATGCATTGCAAACGCACTCTACGAAGCGAGTTCGCACACCACGAAGCGTCACGCATGCTTTTCCCCGTGCGCGGTGCGGGCTCGTCCCCCTCTAGACCCAACAGGTCAGCGTAATGGCCCAAGTCTACCCCCTCTGCCAACGACTGTCGCGGGTTGTCCCGCCCCGCCCTCTCCCTACCCCACTTGAGACTCAGTCGCTTTGCCTCACCCTTCCCTTCTGCACTCTTCCACATCCAGCGGCCCGGAACAAAGACAGGCTGGATAAAGGCGCCCGTGCCGTGTCATTACAGTCAGCCCCTCCAGCCGATACTGCGATGGCGTCTTTGGAAAGTCTCTAATCAAAGGGCAAACTGAGGCGCTTCGTGACGTGACACGCCCCTCCACAGCATTCATGTGTTAAGCTATGCTTTTCGTTTTCAGATGAACTGTAGCATAAAGACAAAAAAAAAAAAAAACCCTATCCCGCCCAGTATTTGGCTCGATAACATGTGTAATTGTTATATTTGGGAAGTAAATATGATCAGTGCAGCATGATGGATAATGTTTGAACTGGAAAAAGAATAACAAGTGAAGTAAATTAAACCGGGCTTTAATGGATGCAGGTACACGTCGGATCAGCAGGTACAAAACAGGCTTGTATAAATAACTGGGTTTCAAATGCATGCCAAAACAGATCTTTTAGTCACGACTAGAACGAACCAGACATGAGAGCAAGGGACTGCAGCAAACCCTAGTTACATCTTTGCAAACAATAGAAAAATTCAGCAAAGGTTTGTCTGTAGTAAAACACTGAAATATGCTGTGGCTAAGTCATCAAATATTGATGTCAGAGGCAGAGCATAAGGCAGAGATGGATGATAGCACGAACAGTAAGTTTAGTCCTGCTCAACCTCCTCCTGGTCCTCGTCGAACTCTGCATCTTCGTCAGCAGTGGCTTCCTGGTACTGCTGGTATTCAGAGACCAAATCGTTCATGTTGGACTCAGCTTCAGTGAATTCCATCTCGTCCATGCCCTCACCAGTGTACCAATGCAAGAAGGCCTTCCTTCTGAACATAGCAGTGAACTGCTCAGAGATACGCTTGAACAACTCTTGGATGGCTGTTGAGTTACCAATGAAGGTGGCAGACATCTTGAGACCACGAGGAGGAATGTCACAGACAGCAGTCTTCACATTGTTGGGGATCCATTCGACGAAGTAGCTGCTGTTCTTGTTTTGGATGTTGAGCATCTGCTCATCAACCTCCTTCATTGACATGCGGCCTCTGAAGATGGCAGCGACAGTGAGGTATCTACCATGACGGGGATCGCAAGCAGCCATCATGTTCTTGGCATCAAACATCTGCTGGGTCAGCTCAGGAACAGTCAGGGCACGGTACTGTTGGCTTCCACGAGCAGTCAGAGGAGCGAATCCAGGCATGAAGAAGTGGAGACGGGGGAATGGAACCATGTTGACAGCAAGCTTGCGGAGATCAGCGTTAAGCTGACCAGGGAACCTAAGGCAAGTGGTGACTCCAGACATGGTAAGAGATACAAGATGGTTAAGGTCACCGTATGTTGGGGTGCTAAGCTTCAAGGTCCTAAAGCAGATGTCATAAAGAGCTTCATTATCAATACAGTAGGTTTCATCGGTGTTTTCTACGAGCTGGTGGACTGAAAGGGTGGCATTGTAAGGTTCAACAACAGTGTCGGAAACCTTTGGTGAGGGGACGACTGAGTATGTGTTCATAATTCTGTCGGGATACTCTTCACGGATCTTGGAGATAAGAAGGGTACCCATACCGGAGCCAGTACCACCTCCCAGGGAATGAGTAAGTTGGAAGCCCTAGAATGGAAAAAAAACAAAAGTTAGACAAAAGAATAGCTATTGAATAAGGATAGTCAAGTAAAGAGTGAATCAATCATTACCTGAAGACAATCACAACCTTCAGCCTCTTTCCTAACAACATCCAAAACGGCATCGACTAATTCAGCACCCTCAGTGTAGTGACCCTTGGCCCAGTTGTTGCCAGCACCGCTCTGTCCGAATACAAAGTTGTCTGGTCTGAAGATCTGCCCAAAAGGTCCTGACCTCACGGAATCCATGGTACCAGGCTCCAAGTCAACAAGGATTGCACGGGGCACATATTTGCCACCTGAAAATAAACCCAGAATAAGTTAAGAAATGAGATAATACAGTGTGGAACTTTAGTCCCAGCCTGGTGTTATGACTGTCAGAGTGACACATGCCCACCACACCCAGTTATGACTCATCCATCCCACCCACTCATATTGGAGCACAGGAGTCAAAACAAATGTGGCTTGAGCTACAAACCGTTCAATGACATGCCCTGAACCAAACACTGAGAAATTTCCAAGATGTTCAAAAAGCTAATTAATAGTTCAAAATAATTTAGTTCAGAAAAAAATTGAGAATAAAAACCCAGTCTAAAAACAAAGAACATAGCCAAACAACTTCCAACCCTTTGGACTGAATTTCTTTCCCACAGACAAAATAAAACAAGTTTGAGAATTTCATCCACTGAGACCAGCACGGAGGCACAAAGGCCTATGGCCGGCCGGCCGGCCGTTGGCCCCCAGCCAAGGCGTGGCCTCGGAGCTCACAAATTCGCCACCCAAAATGAAGTGAACAGGCAAAGTGAAATCCCAACGGTGAACCATAGTGCGGGCAAATAAGCACCCTCCTTACCTGAGGCCTCATTGTAGTACACGTTGATGCGGTCGAGCTGCAGGTCGGAGTCGCCATGATAAGCACCAGTGGGGTCGATGCCATGTTCGTCAGAAATGATTTCCCAGAACTGCAAGAGGATAGAAAATAATGAACCACTGGCCAAGCAACATGACCGAAGGCGAACAAAGAAAGACGCCAAGCAACAAGCCCTAAGACCGGCCCACTACCTTGCTCGGCCAGACCCAAGCCAAAAACGGGCGGGGCGCTAGGCCACACCTGGGCGCTCAAATGTTCCCCATACATTCCAGAACTCTTCCTTACCTTGGCTCCAATCTGGTTTCCGCACTGTCCAGCTTGAATGTGCACGATCTCCCTCATTTTTGTGGATAAAACTTCTCTAACTCAGTCAAAGTACAAAATAAAACTGCCTCCGAGAGGGATGCTGCCTCGCAAGTGCCTCCTGAAGCTCACAGACCGACACCGGTTTCTAAGATGGACCAGTCCGCAAGCGGAGCCCAACGAACTTTCTGTAACGGACAAACCTGACGTGGCCGATCAATACAGTGCGGCACTGTGCAGCAAGCCGGCCAACCAGTCGCAAGCTACGGCCACACCCCGTTTGTAAGGGTCTCTCTCATTGGCTCGTTTAAAATCAATTTCTACACCTTCCTCTTCAGCGTGTTGGCTATAAGAACGAGCTTATGAGTCATTTTATGAAGCCAGTGTTGGGCCAATACTTTAAACGATTGGTTCGTTTTTCCATTTTAAGAAACATGTTTGAACAGGGAAAATGCCAAACTTACAACTGAGCCCTCTTTTCGTAACCGAAAGCAATCTTTTTCATTCTACTACCAATGAGTCTGTGTACAGTCACGCAATACTGCTGTAGCATGGCTCTCGCTCTCAAAACATTCAAAATGAACCGAAAAAGATGAAGCAAGGTTAAAGAAGTCACGCACCAGCTGACATGAGACTAAACTTGGGGAATATTGTTGGTATTCGTAAGGAGAAACTTCTGACGAATGCGGAAAGCACCGGGTAGTATTCGATACCTTCCCGCCCAATTTGAAATGGTGGGTAACAAACTACAACGCACCAACGTAAAAATAAAAATCTCGCTGGAACGGGTCAATGTTGAAAACAATACTGCATCCAACAGATAGAGGCGCCCACATTATTTTATCGAAAAACACTGTTTACACCGAAGTGCACAGTAATTTGCGATGTAGAGCCGATAGAAACAAAAAAATCTCATAAATGTCTTTCCCCTGTGGTTGGTTAAAGTGATTCCGGCGGCGCTGTTTACTTGACCGTAGGTTATGTTTGGGTAGCAGCGAATGAATGAAATATTGACAGTGTTTTTAGAGACAATACCTTTGTGTTTGTCCTTGGCATGGCAGCCTTTTAAATGGATAAAAACCTGTTGGTTTTAATAAAAAAATTGTAATTGTTGACCCAGCTTGTCAACTTCTTTCCGGACTTTAAACCCTTAAACGCCGCACAAGGTAATTTAGATTTGGTTTAATTGTAATGAATCTTGAAGTGTATAAACCTCATCTTCGTGATAATTTAAAAAAAAATAAAAAAATAACGGTGATTGTATCATTACATCCTAACTTCAACTAGTTCTAAATCTAACATCGGGTATGCACACCAAGTTTTGGTTGATAATGCTGTCACACTTCCAACAATTGCTGGTTTGCTTTCAGTGTCTTGCACCTTACCAGAAATGTTTCAACAAAGTGCTCTTGGGACCAGCACGCCGTTTGGAGGAGCTCGTACATCTACCAGTTCCAAAGACATAGAAGTGGTGTCACCTCCTGAAGACTCCATTTCTTCTATGGCCTTCAGTCCAGCTGCCCTTCAACAAAATTTCCTTGTTGCGGGTAGCTGGGACAATAATGTAAAGAACTTAGATCTCTTATCAGGCATCCTGCCGATGCTGTGTTTTTATTAAGCAGATATATTACCATTTTGAATGTGATTTCATATTTTGAAAGGTACGGTGTTGGGAGGTGGAACAGACTGGAAATACAGTTCCCAAATCTATGCAAAATATGGATGGACCTGTATTAGATGTGTGCTGGACCGATGTAAGTTCTGTCATCTAAAAAATCTAAAGACAGACTTCCAAGCAGTATTATTTGCTAAATTGTAATTAACAGATTGTTCATAAACATTATAACTTTTTCACAGGATGGAACCAAAGTCATGATGGCATCATGCGATAAGCAAGTGAAATGTTGGGACCTAGCTAGTAATCAAACCATCCAAGTTGCTCAACATGATGCTCCAGTAAAGACATGTCATTGGATAAAGAGTCCGACTTACTCCTGCCTTATGACAGGCTCATGGGACAAGACTCTCAAATTCTGGGATATGCGTAGTGCAAATCCTATAATGACAATTAATCTACCTGAGAGATGCTATGGTGCTGCGGTTGTAAGTGAAACTTCACACTATGTTTCATACTCATAAGTGGGTATTCTTATGGGGCTTTTATTTCCTAAAAAGCAGTTTTGGTTGATTTGTCATTAAAATTAGTTTCTGAGCCACTGTAGGTGTCGAGATGGAACCTGAGGGTATATTTCTCAACACAAAAGATGGCTTAACACATTAATAATATCAGAATGCCATGAACTTTACTTAAAATAGGTCCCAATTGTGTCCTTCTATTTCTATGGGATATTTAATTTTAAAGTAAACATGCAGGATTTCCCTGGAAAAGTTGGTGATAGAAAACTGGTTGATAGCTTGTTTCATTTCATCAAGGACTACAGATTGACACAGGGATTTACTGAATTTTGAAAAATAGACACAAGAAATAGCTTTGTAAATATTTTTCTTTTGCACTAAATACAGGATAATTTGTATTTTTCATTAAAACCCCCATGTCAATCTGTAGTCTTTGATGAACTGGAAAAAACAAGCTATCTACCAGTTTTTTTATCACCAACTTCTCTGGAGAAATTGTGCGCGTTAACTTCAAAATAAGATATCCTATAAAAATAGAAGTACACACTTGGGACCTCTTTTAAGTAAAGTTCACAGCATTCTGGTATTATTAATGTTATAAGCCATCCCTTGTGTTGAGAAATATACCCTCAGGTTGCATCTCTTCACCTACAGTGTATCAATAACTAATTTTATTCACAAATCTACTAAAAATGCATTTTGGGAGATGAAAGCCCCCTTAAAATTAACCTTAACATAATAGTACATTATTTGCAGGATTATCCCATGGCAGTGGTTATTACAGCAGGAAGACATTTAATTGTCTACCAGCTAGAAGGCAAACCCCAAGAATTTACTCGGGGAGAAACAAATCTCAAGTACCAACACCGATGTGTTGCAATTATGAGAGACAAAAAAAATTCACCAACAGGTTAGTGAAATGCAACTACATGAGTCACATCTTTTGAAATACGTAACCAGGATTTTAACTTATTTTGATTTAATAGGGTATGCTGTTGGCAGTGTTGAGGGCAGAGTTGCTGTGCAGTATGTTCATCCAACACAACCATCTGACAACTTCACATTCAAATGTCACAGAGTAAACTGTGCCAACAATACTTACCAAGAAATTTATGCTGTTAGTTGATTCTTTTGTTAATACAAATTGTGTTGCTATTAAATTCAGGTAACCATTTGTTTGGTCTTTCCCCAGGTTAATGACATTGCATTCCACCCTGTGCATAACACTGTGGCAACAGTTGGAAGTGATGGGACATATAGCTTTTGGGACAAGGATTCCCGTATTAAATTGGGATCTTCTGAACAGAAAGATCAGTCCATCACCCGTTGCTGCTTCAATCACAATGGGCAGATATTTGCATATGCTCTCAGTTATGATTGGTCTAAGGTGAAGCTGGTTGTTCTCTATCTAGTACTTTACTTGTTTCCATTGAAAATTTTGCACTTAAGCAAAGTGTTGTGTATCTTTTACAGGGTCATGAGCACTATAATCCTCAAAAGAAGAACAGCATATTTTTACTTCCCTGCTTTGAAGATATGAAACCACGCAGTAAATCAAGTTCCTAGTTTATTTTATGATGTAGTGTTTGGTTTTAAATCAGACCTTATCATCATTCTTATAAATGTAAATGTGTTTTATATTTTGAAATGAATTACAATTTTGACTGGATTTTTGTAAGTTAATTTATTTACAAATATTTTTGCAATCATCCAGTATAATTTGCATGCTTTCAGTGATGGAAAAGAAAAACTTCAAGAGCTCCAAAATGAAACAAATGTACATATGACACCCCTTTCAAGTGGCCCCTACACTTCTGGCGGTTGCCAATTTGAAATTCCCGCTCAACAAAATTTAAGACCACCTGATGTTGGTGACACTGATACAGAAGCAAAACTACCAACCCAACTACTAACCTCACTGCGTTGGTACACATGGTCTTTGTCTATATTTTCCATTCAGCTTTGTTAAATGGATAAAGATATATTTATACCTCACAATTTTACTCCGTAATAGTTAGATTTTTTTGTCCCTTGCAAGAATTATTTTCGTTCACTTAGTTGAGTGAAGTACCACTCCAGTGCAAGAGGCTCATAACCTCAGTGATCCAACTTTGTTTGTTTTGGTCAGATCTTCATCATATCGTTTAAAATAGGTATAGAAGTACCCACACTGTTCCAGTGCATACTTTTTTCTCATGAATGTACGTAATTTTATATTGTGCTTGGAATTTTACTCCTATTGTCATATTTAGTCTCAGTGCAATCCTTGAGGTTGCTTTGAAATTTGTGACTTCTGTAGCATAGGTTTTCTAATTTTACAATTTCTCCTCAGCTTTTGACGTTTACCTAGAAAACAGGAAAAATGTTCCAACAGACAGCTCTTGGGGCTAATACTTCATTTGGAGCTACCCGCACTCAAGCTGCCACCAATGTTGTGAAAGATTTTGAGGTGGTGTCACCACCTGAAGATTCGATTTCTTCTTTAGAGTTCAGCCCTGCTGCTTTACAGCAGAATTTCCTAGTTGCAGGAAGTTGGGACAACTATGTGAGTTCTACTTGTCAATTCCTTTGCTTCCCATTTCATCCAATGTGAGTGTGTTTTTCTCTTGACTGAATATGATCAATCCCTCAAGGTACGCTGCTGGGAGGTGGAACAAACTGGAAAAACTGTTCCTAAATCAATGCAAAACTGTGATGGACCTGTTTTGGATGTCTGCTGGACAGATGTAGGTACAAATGTCATGTAAGCTTATCCAAGTTTCTCCCTGATATTCTTTTGAGCTCAAACATGTTGTGTTGTGCTGCAGGATGGAACCAAGGTGATGATGGCCTCATGCGATAAGCAGGTCAAGTGCTGGGACCTAGCTAGTAACCAGACTGTTCAAGTTGCTCAGCATGATGCCCCTATAAAAACATGTCACTGGATTAAGAGTCCTAATTACACATGCCTAATGACAGGCTCCTGGGATAAGACGCTCAAGTTCTGGGATATGCGTAGTGCAAATCCTATAATGACCATCACTCTTCCAGAGAGATGCTATGGTGCAGCTGTGGTTGGTCTTTGCATTACTTATTGACTATTCCCCTCCGTCATTTAATTTCCTTCATCGTACAAATGTGATTTGTTATTCCTGCAGGATTACCCAATGGCAGTAGTCATAACAGCAGGGAAACAACTAATTATTTATCAATTAGAGGGAAAGCCCCAAGAGTTCAGGCGGGCTGAAACAAACTTAAAGCATCAGCATCGTTGTGTTGCAATAATGAGAGATAAAAAGAGCTCACCAACAGGTAGATAGACTTTCTCCATTGTGAAGTTATCTTGTTCTGTGAATGGTATAAGACCTGCATTGAATTTGATCTGTCAGGGTATGCTGTGGGAAGTGTAGAAGGCAGAGTGGCCATTCAATACATCAACGCACAAGGTCCTAAAGATAATTTCACTTTCAAATGTCAAAGAATTAATGGTCCTAACAACCAATATCAGGAGATTTATGCTGTGAGTACATTAAATTTGATTGTGAACATAATGAATGACTTGAGATGTCTTCTAGGCAGTCTTTCTATTTCCAGGTCAATGATATTGCCTTCCATCCATTGCACAACACAGTTGCCACTTGTGGCAGTGATGGAACTTACAACTTTTGGGATAAAGATGCCAGAACTAAATTAAAATCATCAGAGCAATTTGACCAACCAATCACTCGCTGTTGCTTCAATCATAATGGCCAAATATTTGCATATGCTCTCAGCTATGACTGGCACAAGGTAAGCCCAGTTTCTGATGTGGTAATGATTTCATTTCACCTATCAGAATACTTTCTGCAACACATGAAGCTAAACTAATTTTGTTCCAGGGCCACGAATTCTACAACCCTCAGAAGAAGAATGGCATCTTTCTTCATCCATGTTATGAAGATACAAAACCTCGCAACTTAACAACTTCTTAAACTCACATTAATTCTGAAAATCTTTTTTCAATCAGGTTTTAAATGTATGTATATAGTTGAATATCTGTGCCGATCAGTAAATGTAATTCTTTTTTAAAAGAAGCTGAGTGTTTTTTTGCATTTGGCATGTTCCACTACTCTAATGATAAAATGGTAAGATTGACAAATGAAAAAAAAAATCTAATGATGAACAATTTAATTTGGCATACAACTCAGAAAAATATACATTTAATTAATTTATGTTTCTGGCACTTGATTTCATTACATTTGATTGAAGAGAAAACTTCAAAGGATAATTTCGTTTTTAAAACTTCGGGTCAGTTCCTTGTAGGGTAGCACAATTGAGTTCAATAGAATCACTTCAGAAGGTACAGTGACACTACAACCTAAGGATGTAAATTAGAAAATTGAAGGTAGAACATTAGAAATCATAAAATTGTAGTAAACATTAAAAACTTTGAATTTTCATACCAAGAATAGTTATAGATGGATTGAGGCGACCATCTTGATTGAAGAGTGGAGGATTATCCATTTTCGCAAAAGGTTTATTAGGATTAGGGTCACATGGAGTTCCCTCCACACGACTCCATTTCCCAACTTGAGTTGCCCTTCCTATAATTGATACAGGATAAATATTATTAATCCATAGCATTTGGTGTTTTGAAATTTTTTGAAACAGTAAGTTCATAAAAATGTCAAGAAAAGGGAGTAACTTATACATACCAACAATGCTGTGCAGCACTAGACTGTGATCTGCAATGCTTGCACCAGAGAGAATTATTGATTCCTTGATTCTAACTCCAGGACCAATGATAGCACCCGCCCCTACACTTACATTAGGGCCCAACTACAAAAAGGTTCGACAAAAACAAGTAAATAACTAGGATTCAATTATCAATTGATAAAGTTTACACAAGAGCCTAACTTACAGTAGCAGTCGGGTGCACAGATGCAGAGGGGTGTAAATGCACATCACCAATGATGTTGCAGCCTGTGTCATCAGGATTATCTTTAGACCTACTTTTAGCCAAACTAAGGAAATAGATAATTAAAACATTGTAAAACAATATTTTTATAAACAACGTTTTTAGAGGCAATGCCATACCGTTGAGAAGATTTTGACTGATAAAGATGTAAATAATGGCGGTTAGCATAAATGGCAGATCCAGCTGACTTTAGCTGAGACCACCACCTACTAGTAGGCATGGCAAAGAACTTTCCAGTGCCTGCAAGAGGCATTATAACTTCTTGCTCCAGTTGCATACAGCTTGATTCCTTTGTATTGTGGGTGTTGTCACTGCATGTAATAGAGTAGAATTAAGGGCTGTTAAACCATAACTCCATAAATAGACATGGCAAACCGACAGCTGGTAGTTTCTAGTCTGCAAATTACCTGTAGTAATCTGATTGCTTGTTATTGAAAACTGTGGACATGGTTTGGAATATTTCTGTGCTAAACACATAAACACCACAGCTGATGAGCGTTGAGACAAAAGTGGAAGGCTTTTCAACATAGTGCAGCACCTCTGATGTTCCCTCATCTCTGACCATGCAACCGTATAAAAGAGATTGCTGCCTGGTAGCCTCAGTTGCCATTACAGAAACCTTACCCAAGAAAATTGACAATTACCAAATGTTATGCCTTTATAAGAAAATTAAGAGAGCAAACATTATATTACCAAAGCATTTTTCAGTTGATGGAATGACAACAATTCTTGTAATGGAAGATCAGCACAAACATCACCATTTAATACAAAAAACGCATCAGGATTCCCACTACAAATTTGGTCCCTGAAATGGTACATTCCACCTGCAGTACCTAAAGCAGTAAATTCTTGTAGATACCTAGGGACATAAGTGGCACATTTAGTTACACATTTTAAATTTTTGAAGTAGCATAAGAATTACAGTTTTGTGTGATTACCGAATGTTCACTTTATACTCCTGCACCATATCAGCGATGAATTGCTGAAGTTCAGAAGCAGCATAGTAGCCAATTATAAGGATTTCTTTAAGATTGGGAACACGAGCACAAGCTTCGACATGGTGCTGAATCATAGGCAGACCAGCAACGGGGAAAAGGGGCTTAGGTATGTCGAGAGAAAGTGGTCGGAAGCGAGTGCCTGGAGGACAAAAAAATAATTGCAGCAGTAAGGAAATTGCAGAGCATTACCAATTTGATGATAGGTAAACAAATGACAACTTCTAAACTTTTAAAGTAGCAAACATAATGTGTGCATTTTTAAGGGGAAAAAAACAAACTATGACATGACAGAGAATGACAAAATTAACAATAGAACCCACACAATCTAAAATTTGACTTTGACATTCATTGCTTCAAATTCCGTGGTAAAAAAGGTAAAAGTATTTTGATAATCAATGTTTACATTGCAAGACGGCTAAGATACATAACCTATCGAAGTTAACAAGTCAAACCTACCCTTCAAGGGCCCTCCAATTAAAATAATTGCTTTCAGCATGGCAAGTCCCGTCAGTAATGAATACGAAACAGACAGTGTCAATTATCAAACATTCCACGTAAACAGTGCCGTAGTTCGAACGTGTCAGCACACTTGACAGGATGAGCGATAGCGCGTAATTATGCCGCAAGGCATTCTTCCCGTTCTTCTTCTTTGTTTTGATTTTGAGGCACCAGCCACGCCATGCTGTCAAGAGGCAACAGGGAACAGCAGACGATACTTTCACCTTAGTTTCTGCTTCTGCATTTAATTTCAAGTGTCATTAAGTTGCCCTACCTACGAAAAATAGATTAGAAATTGATTGACTCAGCCGAAACGTAATAATTATTGAAAATGTGCACCATCAGTTACAAAAGTTATATAAATGTTGATGAGCACAGGGGCAAGAGCCCTTATACTCATAGTCCGCATAATCTCATATCGATGTGAAAATAAGTGAAAAAGGTGTGTATTGGAAAAAAACTATGCATTTTATTATTTTTTTTAATTTTTAAAATTTTTTATTATACAAAGGTAAGCAATTACGCTGACGCAAGAGCACCAACATATTCCTTAACAACATCAAGAGCAGCAGACTCTTCACCGTAATCCTGCAAAACAAAAGGAAAATGTAGTTATGCTATTTAACTCACTAATAAAGAAATTCTAACGAAATATTAAATACCTTAACTACAACGCAGGAGCACCCAACAATTTTCCTGGGCTTGCCTGTGTTGTCAATCTTGCAGAGACCAGCCCACTCTCCAAGCTTCTTGTTGTCTTCTACTTTAATGATGGGAATCTGGTGCTCATTGCACAGAGCCTCAACTAACTTCTTGTAGGCAGGCTGGTCGCAGTTGTCAGCAAGAAGGCACAGAAGAGCCTGTCGCCTGAAAGTCAGAATTTGGTTGGCATGAGTAAAATACATAACATGCGCGGATGACTTGAGTGCTGCCAGTTCACTCCCTCAGTTTCAAAATTCCACATGATGTAATATGTAACGGGTTCATTTCAGAAGAGGGAGCCCGTGAGGGCATAATCATTGGAAGTTCATTGACAATCAGAAGAGTTTGATACCATTAAACTAATGAACAAGCTGTGCTGGGCTGATCCAAAAGTGTTCCTCATTGAGATATTTTCCACACAAGATTTTTGTAACGGGTTCATCTCGGAAGAGGGAGCCCACAATGGGCATAATCATAGGAAGCACCAAGAAAAACCCACCTTGCAGCAGCTATTCTAGAACATATAACCAGTATCTGCTTCATTATTAAATTCCCACACCATTTTAATGTAAAAATTTAAACTCACAAGAGGGAGCCCATGAAGGGCATGATCATTGTTGGAGCATTGACAGATTGAGTAAAGGAAAACATTAACTTCATTGCACATTAACTACTGGGGCTAATCCAACATGTTCCTCATAAAGAAATTTTCCACACAAGATTTTTGTAACGGGTTCATCTCAGAAGAGGGAGCCCACAAAGGGCAAAATCATAGGAAGCATGACAGAGCCCAGCTTGTAGCAGCTATTCACCATGACAACTAGTTTCCTATGACCTGTCAAAAATGCCTCAGCATTAAATTTTTATCATTTAATGAGCTACTTCAATTTCAGAAGAGGAATTCCACAACGCTTGAAATTATTAGAAAAGAGACAATTTGAATACAGAAAGATACCACTGTACAAATAACACATGAACTGCTAGGGCTGACAACACATTCCTCATTGAGAAATTATCCACACAAGATTTTTGTAACGGGTTCATCTCAGAAGAGGGAGCCCACAAAGGGCATAATCATAGGAAGTGTTACGTAAGCCTACCTTCCAACATCCAAAAGCTGCTGATAACAAGAACGTTAATCTGCTCACTTTACAACTGCTTCCTCAGTGTTATGATTTCCACACTAGTTATATGTAACGGGTTCATCTCAGAAGAGGGAGCCCGTACAGGGCTTAATCATTGGATGCAATTATTAAGAGGCAGGTGCCAAAATTAGAGCTCTACATGAACAATTCTTTTAACATTTTCTGAGTCTTAAGTTCCTGCATTATTTCAATGTCACAGGTTTGTCTCAGAAGAGGGAGCCCAAGATAGGCTTTATCACAGGAAATAGGTTGTCTACAGCAATGAGAGAACGAAACACTAAATGCACTAGAACATCCAACTTCAGCACATTCAAAATTCAACATGATAGAAGTGTAAGAACAAACTGAGCATTAATGCTGGAGATACACACAATCTTCCAAAATTGGACTGAGAAAACTAGTAGGAAGTGCCTGTAGCAATATGTTCAATTGTCATATAGGAAATACAAGTGCGACACATACTTGTCCAGAGCTTTGGCAGCCTCATGAAGACCATGGGCCAGACCGTCATGGATGAGGGAGTTTTTCAGGACTTCTTGGAGAGCTGTGTTGACATCCATGGGTCCTCCGGCAACGGGTGCCGCAGAGGGAACATCATCCCTGTAAAAAACACCACGAATTAAGAGTCATGTGTGGTGGAACACGGAGATGTACGAGCAGGAAAGAGTGGAGAGTTCACTGTAAATAAACTGAGATATATTTGACTACGAGACCGGTATAAAATGGTGCGAGCCTTAAGAGGAAGGACGTAACTGAAGCCACTTAATGCAGCAAATGTGGCCAATATTCCAATTTGCTCAAGAGATAGAGAACTATCACGATGGTGTACAATGTTTATGACTAAGAGGTTAGGAATACTTACTGTCCGGCGTCAGACATTTCGGCTTCTATGGTTTAGCCTGCAACGAAGCGAAAGAAAAAATCGCAATTAGAATAAATAGTAGAGTGGGATAGTCACGACAATTTACACAAATTTTCAAGGATTGAAAATATAAAATAGGATAAACAACCTACAAAAGCACACCTACTTGGCGTTCCGTGTGTGAGACCGGAAAAGGATGGCCGAGTGTCTGCACGTCTACAAAAACGACACAATATGAGAAATTCGAAGGGCGGGAATTAATATTGTTGCCACCTTACAATTTCGTTAGTAATTTGCTACAAACAAAAATATTGAGAATTGCCACAGATTATTACATTGCAAAAACAAATTTAGACAATTTTTGATTGATTTTATTGACTTTAATAAAATAAAAAAAATGATACAAAACTAATGCATACTAAATATTTTGCTGTTGGTGAACATGAAGACGGCGGAAATGTTTCGAACCACGTTTACATTTGAACAGAAAAGAAGGTGCCCTTTCTCAAGCTCAAAAAATCCTTGAGACAGATCTTGAAAGTAAAAAAAAACTAGCTCGAGTCACGACGCAAACGGGGAGCTTAACAGCTAAAAATGGCACGAGGGCCGACCATCTGCCTTCATATTACATCTTTGTG